AATGATATGGTAAACATTAAAATAAATTACACATAATATGATAACAATGTTACAATTATTATTTTTGAAATACACGGGAATTTACGAATTGATGAAGTGTATTTTTCTGAAGCCTTTTTTATTATTGGGTCTTTTATTTTTTGTTCTTAAGCCCTTTTATTTATATTTCGTAATTTAATTAGCTCTTACATGATAGCTTTAATTATTCCTATGTTAGGGCATCTCCAATGGTAATAGCTATTACTAGCTATATGGTTAGCTGACGTGGATGTGAGAGATAAGAAAAATAACTATTTTACACTATTGGACCCACGTACTCCTCTCACATGATCTTGGGCTACGTGAAATAGATAAGCTATTTGTTAGTAGCTAGTGACTACTCTCTCTCTTACTTTTTCCCTGTCCACGTCATAATAGTTAGCCAAATAACTAACCATTGGAGAAGCCCTTAGTGTATCTCTAGAATGGTAATAATGACTTTACTAGTACAACACCCGTGTATTACACGGGTGCTTGCTAATTTTTTCTTAAAATATAAAATAATGAGAAAAAGTAGTTGGAATTTTAAATACCTTTTACAAAAATATATATTATTATATATTTAGTATGATATTTTTTTTTCGACTTACCTGTGTCATATTATAATAATTTTTTAACTTACAACATATAACTATAATAAAAATAAATATATCAATTGATAAATAATTTTATTTTTCTAATGAATTTTAATAAATATTATTATTCTTTATTATTATAAAGATAAATATAATTTATTTATTTCATATATACAATATAGATGTCAAATCGAAGATAATCAAAAGATAATTAATTTGATATATAATATATGTAAAACCGTTAAGAAATACAAAAGTTATCAACTTTTAAAATACATTTACAATTCAATAGCTAATTGAAGGAAACAAATCAAAGTAAGAGATATATTAGTCACTTAGTGCCTAACTATGTAAAATTACAAATAATTAAAGGGTTATATTAGTACAAGTGATATTAAAATTACCTAAGTTAGATAAATAATATTTATGGAAGTCTGAATCTAGATTATTAATTATATAGAGAATTATATATAGGGAGATTTTTTTTTGTATATAATGAATATTATGTTATCATGTAGTTAAATATTTAAAAAAAAAAAAAAAACTAAATGTATTTCAATGCAAATAAATGTAGACTGGGTCCTGCTGATGAACTGGTGTAGAACAAAAAATAAAAGACCCAATAATAAAAAAGGGCTTAAGAACAAAAAATAAATAGACCTAGGGTATGTTTGGTAAGCCAAATAAGCTAGCTTTTAGCTTATTTGGTTAGCTTATAAGCTCCCTGTTTAAAATAAGCCTCGTTTGGTAGGACGAGCTTTTTTAAAAAGCTCGAGCTTATTTCATAAGCTACTTTAGGTAGCTTTTCAAATAAGCTAGTTGAATTTTTTTATTTCAGCTAGCTTATCAGCTAATTTACCAAACACCTATAAGCTAGCTTTTCAGCTATAAGTCATAAGCTATAAGCTATAAGCTAAAAAATTACATATAAGCTATAAGCTAGCTTATCAGCTATCAGCTAGCTTATCAGCTAATTTTACCAAACATAGCCCTAGTCTATTTTTTGTCATAAGAAATAGACCTAGTCTAAAAAAATATATCTTCCAATGCAAATAAATGTAGACTGGGTCCTGCTGATGTGGCAACAGAAAAAGAGACCCGGTCTAAACTTAAGTCTATTTTAGACCCAAGTAGAGACCTAGTCTCCTTGCCTTGGAGTGAATTTTATCAATTTTACATAGTTTCATCCATGTCATCAAAGACTTAGGTTTATGTACATGCCAAATAAGCTAGACTAGACCCAATACATTGTAGATGCTCTAAGGTGATAAATAAAAGTTTCCATTGTATACACAATTTTTTTTTGCAAGCTTAATGAATTTATTTTTTTAACTTTTAAGAAAAAAATATATATTTTATTTAGTAGTCACGAACAAGCATATGTTGTTATTGGTTCTAGAGTTACGAATCATCATTGTCTTATTTTGTATTTAAAAATTTATTATCGAGTCGAAAAGGAGCGGATTTTTAAAAAAAATGAAGACTACAATTTTTAATAACATCACTTATTATTATTATTTTGTTAGAGATAATTAGTATTATGATATATAACATAATAATTTCTAAGTTTTAACATAATAATAATAAAATTATATAAGATAATTAATTATAATTTATAATACAATAATTCTAAATTATAACTATAAGATAATAAATTTTAATTTGTAACATAATAATATCAAAATTCTAACATAATTTATATAATAAATAAAAATTTTATTATTAAAAAGAAAAATTGCACTGCACACCGGCAAAACCAGCCATGCACAGTGTGGCCAACCAGCAAAATTGACTGTAACTTTGGCCGCACCGTGCACGGGCAGTTTCGCCGACGAGAGATTTTAATTCTTTTTTTTTTTTACCTTTTAGGAAAAAATATTAGGAGCAAAACGGTTTAAAAGGTGGTAGGTAGTAAAAAGAAAACGGTGTTTAATAGCTCAATTGACAAATTGGCATAAAGTGGCACACTATCCAATACTCAATTGCATTTTTCAATTGGACAATCAAGTCGAGGTAAATTAATTGCACAATCAAGTGGCAAGACATATTTAGTTAAAATGTCTTTCTTATCACATTTATGGTCATATAAAATATTATCTCATATTCTTTTTAAATGTCGTTCTGGTATTATCAACTATTAACAAAATAAATATCGTTGTGGATATTTTGTACATATTTTTCAATTATTATCCTTATCTAACTAATAAATACAATACGTCTTTCCATATTCACTCTTCATTTTTTTCTCAAAACATTCATCTATATCCTCATTAATGAAAGTTATTACTGACAAATAAATATTATTAATAACTGTGCAACTTCTTAAAACCGTAAATATTATGAATAGGAGGAAGTAGACAATACGAGAACCAAATAACACAACATAAAAGTTATACAATATCACATATTTTCTACTTTATTTATATCAATCGGTATATTTAAATCTATACTTATATTAAAAGGAAACCTATTTACTAAATATAGTAGGTAGAAAAGTCAACTTTAATTAATGAACTTCTAAATTTATCAAGTAGTAATTAATGCATTTATAA